GAGCCATCTAACCTCTCCTCAGCTTCGGGCCATGAACTTCTGTTCTGACGTTCACCTATAAACATTGTTTTTGATACACTTTAAAACCAGTTGGTTCTCTGAGAGATTTCAAAGTAGCCCCATGATGACGATCCCACCACTGTGCTTCATAATTAGGATGATGTTTTGTTTTTGTTGTTGGCCTTTTTCCCCCAGATGACCTTTTTTGACCTGTTTCCTGCTGATTTATGATGTAAAGCAGTGTGAAATTTGACTGTCATACCACTCATTACAATTCATGAAACTAACCCGGTGACAACTCTATTGAAAGGAGTCTTATGAGGCTGTGATAAAACCGTGGTTCACACTGTCCTGACTTTGTACAGAAAAGAGGGCTTTGTCACTTAGTGGATTTTGTATCACTTTGTTTATGTAGAGCAGCACTTGTACAACCCACACTTAGAGTTTGCTCATTAATTTAAATGCCTGCATTCAGGTATCTTTTAGAGAGAGTTTTCTTTGTCTATTTTGCTGACTTTAGTCTAGTAGGGACCACATTATGACTCTTCAGTGTCGATCTTGGTGTTTCCAAAGCTTTGTGGCTCTTCTTTCCTCTGCTTTCTCCTCTTTTGCTCATTATCCAGTTTCAGCCTGGATATGCTCCAAGTTCAGAGCTATGAGGCAATAGCCCAAATGTTCGTTTTGCCAAAGCCCCTCCTTTTCTTATCCTGTCAGCACTTTTGCAAGTTTAGCTTGCAGGCTCAGCTTTTCAGATTAGAAGGAAATGGTCTTCTTCTTGCGGTTACTTGGAAAGCATGACAGTGACTGACAATTAAAACAATTGTTTCTAGGTCTGTTCCTGAGATTGTATCTGAGTTTTCCAGTCTTCTTTCATTTCAGTGATGTTTATTATAGTTCATACTTGTGACCTGGATACTAAATGTTGTTGTTTGCCCCTGGGCAGAGAAATCAAGTGACTTTTATCAAGCAAGAACTGGCCTGACAAGATGTTAGATAACACATAATCAGATAGTAATTTGACTGACTGACAAACACAGTCTGTTATTGGATAATTTTATTGTAATAATTCACTTCACTTTTTTGTAAAGTGTACAACTAAAGCTTTCCTTAAACCTGTTTTAACTAACTCTCCCTTCCCTCTGTTTTTAGTGTTGGCAAATGTTTGTACTCCTTACGTTTGTACTAACTACATCACCAAGCAAAAGTCAAATCCTCCTGAAGTCGGACGCTCGACACGGTCGGCAGAGCAGTGGTGATTCTGTGTGAATCACTGGAGAAATGTCCTTTGCCCGTGGCAGCGGAGAAAGACAAACGGGGCTTGTAGCATGTTCTTTTGACCACGGTTAATATCTGTGTGAGAGAGGCACAGTCATCTATTGCCTTTGACCCTGTTTCTGCCCTGTTGGACTACTTAAGACCTCAGTTCACAGACTTCACTTGGACTGCTATTTAAGACTCATAAAAAGAAGCACTTTGCTGTCTTTCAAGTCAAAAGCCTTCCTCCTATACTTATTATGAAGCACAGAAGACAAAAAAAAGATCTATTCAGCTAATGTAATTTTATGTTAACATGTATTAATCAAAGTACATGAGATTACTTGTGCAATAAAGTACATGTTGCAAAGCAAAGGACTTCTCTATGTGGCAGGTTCTTCAAGCATTTAGCTGAATAAGGCATATATCAGTTTCTGAAAGCTCAGCAGTTTGATTTTGGCATTCCCACAGTTGAACTTACTGAGTGATGGATTTGCTGTTCATGCATGATATTCAGATTAGCCTTACCACCAAGTTTATCCTATGCGCCTTGTAGCATAGCCAGCAACTCAAGCTAATTCTAGTTTATAGTTTTAACGATTGTGACTGCTGCATCTGTGCATCCTGCATTAAAAAACAACAACAACAAAATCCCTTTCACATACAGAAGAAAGACGAGGACATGTAAATAACAATAAAATTAAGTCATACAGTTGCACTTCACAGTATCTGCTGTTCAGTATGCGCATACACCCAAGCCTCTCCTGTTGAGGGATCCCCGGCACTGACCAGATGTCCACGACTTAGTTTGATGCCATATGGGAGAACAAACAGCTACAGGGGGTTTGGAGAAAGCCGTCCGCTGCTACTGCAGGGTGACGTTCTTAATCCCTCTGCTTTACACTGACACATGGCACTCATGCACTGCACTGCATGATGTTGGACACATTTTATCCTTCAGTAGAATAAATTGTATTTGAAATGTAAAACTGTTGTTCTTATCTTCAGTGAGTTTATGCTAAGGGCGATTGGCTGATAGGCCTGAAATGGAGAGAATCGCCGTGATAAGAAACAGATACTGTTGTATTAGTAGATGTAAACAGTTTTAATGCTGCTATTGTCTTAAGAATAAACTTGCCTCAGTGTTGATTACTGCTGCTAAATGGTTATAAATGTGAAGCATGCATTATCTAAAGGCCACATCTGAGCTGCACTGCATAACTAATGATACATGACTTAACAGCGGCGCATTCATTAAGTTTTCATAATGTGCCACCACTAGCACCATCATTTCAGCTTTTCTCCTGTTTTAAATGTGTTTTTCTAGGATAAGTGGGCTTACATCGTTGCAGTGCACTCCTTAAAAGGGTGTTTTAATGCTAAAGGCGCTGTTGTGTTGTATGTTTTAGATGCACCTTAAAGACCTTGTTGCTTTTCTGCAGATACATCTGTGTCTAATAAATCCATATATCATTATCAAGTGTTGGCATTTGCCATATTATTTCTTATTATTTCTTTACTCCAGATTAAGCATAAATAAATGCAGTTTTAGAAAAAATACTCTTTGTCTATCCTGCATTAAAAAGCCTTAGTAATGCGATAATTAACATCAAGGGGAGATTAATCCACAGATCCTGTGCTGGGATGATGTATTTGATATTCTTCTCCCTCTGTTGTGGTATCCTGAAGCTCGTAGGCTGTCGATCTTGTGGAGAGGCAAGCTGTGTCTCTGTCACATTTTAGAGGGCAGGACGCCAGACCTGACTTCAGGCCCAAAATGGCAGCTCTCAGTTTGTCTGCTTCTAGACGTCTGTCTGTGTGTCTCACGTGCTCGAACGGGAGGATATTGTCATTTACTGCAGCTGCCGCTTTCAGAAACTATAATTGTGGAATACGGGAATGTTGGGGGAACCGAACTGCTATAATTAAATTAAGTTCTTCTTCTCTGTCTGAAAATGATCAAGATGTTGAAATAAAAGACAAATATTTGACCCAGTTTCAGTTGCATACGTGACAAAGATGAAGCTGTGTGGCTATAAATTATGTTGCTTATATTGGCATGCAGTATATTGCTTCCTTTTTACTTATGATCAACATAAGTGCCATAATGCGGAACAGAGAGTAACCTAACTGCTCTGCAGACACAGGAGGGTTATAAGGAGAACTGTGATAATGGGATGAAGATGAAGGGTATGCATGCTTTCCAGCAGAATGCCTCTGAGTACACCTTCTTTCTCTGTTTCACAGTTCATGCATCCGAATGTCAATGAAGTATTGAGTCATGGTTGCGCTTCACTTCAAACCTTTGCATTTTCTGTCCTCACAGAGCCACCATAGAGGAAGTGGAGGGGGATGTGTGCGAGTTGGAATCCAAGCTTGACAAAGTGAGTACCGCCCATGAAAAACATTGTTTAATTGTTCGTTTTCTCCACCGTGCGAGCCAGCAGCAACATAAGCCATCCTGTAACAGGTCAGGTTTGTCCTCGGACTTGTCCTCGCTGTATTCCTTGGCATTTCGAGCAAGACTGAATGAAAGCAGACGAGCAAACGCACTCGTTACCCTTCCAGCAATGTGATGGTTTACTTGGACCAGATTAAATATCTATCTATATGCCAAGTCTTTTATTGTAACTGTGGCATTTTGTTGATCAAAATCATACGTTTGTAAAATCACGAAAAGGGATGTGTGCCTATTATTAGTGATTTGAAAAATGGATTTCATGGAGGGGCCAAATGAATTCATGATAAAAGACGAGGTTAATGTTTTAAGAAGAGTTTCCAGTTTTTGTAATAGGTCTGGATGAAGTAATGCAAAGTAGTATACAAACAAAATCAGGGTTATTCACACACTCACACTGATGCATGCATCGCCTGTTGATTGGTAGACGACCCACTCTACTGCCTGGCTCAGCATTTACTCACCATTCAGCATATTTATTCTTTTATCAAAGCTTTTTATTGTTTTGCTTATTTTTAATAGGAAATACTCACCAGCAGGATGGTATTTACAGTCGTATTTAGTGGTGCAGACTTGGGTTGGACGACTGGACGAATATATCGACTATCAATGATAGGCTGAGCCCATCGGCCATCATTTTTACAAGGGGCAATTTAATTATTCGTCCATGAGTAAGTTTGCTAATAAAGATGGAGCTAATAGAACCAGTCAACAGAAAGGAAAAAAAAAAAAGCTCCATCAAATGCTTGTTGATGGAGCTGCAGAAGCTGGTGATAGCCTAGCATACTCAGCCGGATGGTGGCCACATGCATGCTCATGCAAGTTAGCTGTGTTTGAGTAGTTTGCTCGCACTATAGGTCTGCACAGGCGGGACACTGCTTTGGTTACATCCTTGAATTGACCTCTTTCATCCCAAATTGGCGACTTTATATATATATTTATGTGCTGTCAGTGTTAACGCGTTAACGTAAAATTTTTACATGTCGCCCAACCCTAGTACAGACTGTTAAGCACTTGATGAAATCCATATTAAAGCTACTTATTAAAATTAAAAAATAATTGGCTCAATAACTTTCTGTGTGCAGAGATATTTCGGGAGTGTTATTTATAGTCCTGAGTCCTGAAGAGTGCCTTTGGTACTTTTCCCAGCTTTCGTGCAGATTTCTTTTCCCCCCCCCAACAATCAATTCGTGCCTTTTGGGTTTTTTCCTGTGTAACTGACATTAAACCAACCAAACAGAGTCATGTTTATCAACGGTTGTACCGTCTTGATGCCACAGAGCCCACAGAATTGTTCTCTTGCTTAGAGTGAGACCGTAGAAGAATCCAGTTCTTTATTCCTCGACTTAGTCTTACAGCGTTACTCTTACACCCTCCTCCTCACTCCACCTCCGTGACTCAGCCTCACTTCCCCTCTTGCTGTGGAGAGGAAGGATCTGCCAGAGAGTGGGTGTGTTTGCGTGAGTATGGCTGTGATAGTGTGTGTGTGTGTCTGAGTGTGTATGTGTTGACTTGGGTGAAGTGAAGTTGTCTTCAGATACCAGAGTTCAGCTTTTCCTTCAAGCTTGCTTACCTGTGTGACCATAACGTGCACAGCCATGTTGGATCAGAAGTAAATCAACAGAGACAGTGTCCACATTACATCTGCTCTCATACATCCTGTTTCCAAACAATGGAGTAGAAACCTTTCACATACTGGTGTCTTCTGAATGGTGTCACTGTGGTTCTGTTTCTGTGAAACTGTTGCTTCCCTCATCAGTGTTAAGTCTCTTTTTATGTTCTGGAAATGAACCAAGAGAACAATGAAAAAAGCATGTCTACCTGAAGCATTCCTGAAGTGCTACAAGAAATTATTTACAGAGCAACAACAGAAAGCGAATACATCTCTAGATCGATGGGTGTTTTTTACACGTCTAGTTTGCTTTCTCTAGAACAATCAGTTGGTGACTTTAAAAACTCGGATTATTGGAGAACGTGGAGCATCCCAAAATGCAAACCTTGAACTTCTGAACTGCTTCGAAGTTTGTTTTAAACCAGAGTGAGACCACCTCCTCCAAAGGGTCTCGGTGTGCGGTTACCTCGTTTACATCTGCGCAAATGAACATCTGCACAATGGATTTAAGCAGACTAAACACCACAAGTGTGAAAACACCCTAACAACATGCAGCAGGGCTGAGGCAGCTGTAGTGTAATCATATTTAAAGATAAGTGTTTTGTTCAAATGCGAAGGAAATGACACGTGTGCATGCTGGAAATGTGTGTAAATGTGTGTGAGAGTAAGGTGTTGACCCACTTGTCTTGTGATTCTAATGTTTTGTAGCACTTTCACTTTTTTCCACTTTGAGCCTGTCTTTTTCTTTTGTATCCTCACTGCTGAGACGGTTATATGATTGGGGGAAAAGAGCATTTTTTAACCTCCTAGGACCTGGCGTCCACATATGTGGACGTCACATTTTGGGTTATTTAGACCAAAATACTCAATTTTGCTCTACAAGAGCCTGATATCCACTTACGAGGACATTATACTGCTACTGTTCTATCAAAATTTTAAACGAATATCCTCATTTGGCTCTCATTTTTCTTAGAAACAAAAATCAGGTAAAAAAAAAATCTGGTAATTCTTTGTTTTTACATTCATCGTGTCCCAATCAGCCCAAATATCAAAGAGAAATTAAAAATGCTGCTGTGAAAGAGTTCTGGTCTTAGGAGGTTAAATATTAAGCGAAATGCTTCATTTTGACTGACAGCATTGCTTATTCTCTTTCCGACTCAAACTTCACTCATAATTAGTCGTGAAGCAGGGTCAGTCTGCGTTTGATCAGCTTTTAGGTGTTCATTAACATTTAGTAATTGTTGAAGGAAGCTGCTTAAAATTGGCATTTTCTTAGCGTGTCATGTAGCTGCTTTGGCTGTAGATGCACATTCAGCCTCTGTGTCATCAGCTGTGTGGGAGTAGATGGAGAGTGGCCAGAATTTGTTGGGAGTTTACATAACCTGGAATTATCTTTGCCCTCAATGAGTCAGAAGGGAAAGAAGTGGCTGTTGTTAATTACCAATAAACTGAGTAAGCACTGAGTATCTTATATTTTAGTCCTTTTCTCTGCGTTTCCAGTTTCCACAAAAAATCCCAAATCTATTTTCAGCAGCAGAGCTCCACTGTTATTAATAAGAGACAATGCCCTGAAGAAATCTCTAGCACTGTTCCTAGTTTGTGTTCACTGAAGTGTTTCTATTGTTAATGCATTTCGTCATTTCTCCGTTACCCCCTCGAACACTGACGTCTGCCGCTTTCCTTTCTAGTTGGTGAAATTGTGTATCGGGATGATTGATGCTGGAAAAGCCTACAACGCAGCTAACAAACAGTTTGTTTCGGGGATCCGGGAGCTTGCACAGCAGTCCACCAAAGATGAGGTCATTGAGGTAAACAAAAATATAATTTTGCTCCATCTTATCTGCACAAAATGCTTTGAAGTATTTTTTTGCTTCTTCTCCAGCTTGTGTTGTGACAGTCCTCCTGTAATATCCAGTAAAACTTTGAAAACTCTACATCTCAGTAAAATAAACATCACAGATGGTGTAAAAGCATTACTGACTTCATGAGAGTCCCCAGATGTGAAGAAGCCTTTAGCTCTTTGTTTGATCACTCTAAATGGGCTTCACTCTGCATCCATGGTGAGATTTATCCAAGTTTGAAAACTGAGGGCTAGCAGAACCTCGCACTGTCCGCTGGGTCTCGCAGAGGTCAGATGTTTTGTTTTGTTCTCTCTTATAAATTTTGCATGCCGAGGCAAGCACTTCCTGGCTGCCTTTGTGTATTTTGTTCACCGCCTCTCCCTTTAGGTTTGAAGCTGAGCCACTGCGTGTATCTGAAAAGTGTAACTTAGCCAAAAGAATTCTTTCCCAAAGTGCTATTGTTGCTTCAAAAACACCAGGGTTTCCTTTCTCTCATACCTGAGGAGCATTTGTCCCTGCAGCTGTGGCTTAGCAGGCATTTTGAACCACTGGTTTTAATTATATTTGACCTTGTGCTGTTTTGTGTTTTATTCTTGCTTTGTCTCTTTGCCTGCCTTCATGGCTGTCCTCTTCCTTCTCTTCACAGTCCAGTCTCACAAAGTTTGCCGAGAGTCTGCAGGAGATGATCAACTATCACACGGTACGCTGACCAAAACCGGATGCATGTTTTTTCCCCCCCAAGTGACTATAAAATCCAGATCGTTTTTAAAAAAAAAATCCTTGTGCTGAGAAAGAGAAGCAGAAAATGTCCAGTGAACATGTTTTAAAAGCTTAGCACAGAACTGAACTATGGTGGCTGAATGTGAAGAAAGTGCCTATAATAAGCATCTTCCAAGGGGAAGATTTCATATTGCTGTAAAATATGTGAAGCAGGGTGTTGCTAAAAACACACAGGAAACAATGCCTATTGTAAACAGTGGTTTTAAAAAAAGCTCCTTGGGTCAGCTGCAATAAACTCCTTTTTTATTCATTGTCAGCCATCATTAGTCACAAACGCTTTGGGATTTCTTGTCTTTTGTTACAAAATCAAAATAATTCCTGGAGTAAAACGGTCCATGATGTCATAAGCAGATCTGGTTGTGTGTGTGGGTTGAAATCCATCTGTTGGAATAAATCATCCATAACTGGTGTAAAGTGTTTGTGTGTTTAGTTCATCCCGCAGACAGGTGAAGAGCTTTAGTATAATGTTGACCATAACAGATGTGTTGCATGCTAGATCATTTAAAACAAACCAACCTGAGCCTCCAGGCGTTAGCGTTGCACTGTGATCGTTACTGCTAGTTGAAATACAAAATTTACAGTTGAATAGAAGTAACATGGTTACATAGTTTC